ATTTTAATAATGAGACTGATGAGTTATGGTCTGTCAGATTTTATTACGGCGCATGATCAAATGCCGATTCTGATCCAGTAGCGTAAAAGTAATGGACACAATATGTTTGCACAGTAAACAAGATACATACTTCAGTGATCATGCCCTGCATTAACTGCTTAAGTTAAAAGATAAAATCAGCTGATTACTGAAATATGAAGGAAGTAAAACATCACAATTGACTTTTTTGTGTATTAGTTTTCTTATCAGATGCATTATGGATTTGGTTGTGTCATAGGTTTCTAACTGTGTTTGATTATTGTAGGACAAGATTATAACTTCGAGAAGCTTAAATCGAGCGAGGTGAACTCTCTGGCGCAGCCATATGATTTTGCCAGTATCATGCATTATGCTCGTGACACCTTTGCCAGAGCGATGTATCTGGATACGATTTTGCCGAAGCCAGATCCGATTTCTCGAGAAAGACCCGAAATTGGACAGCGAATCCGCCTTAGTCCCGGGGACATCATCCAAACTAATTCTCTTTACAAATGTGCAAGTAGGCAATTGTTTTCAAATTTTCTGTATTTTCAGCTGATTCTTAGAATGTGGGCAGACGTTTCTCTCGCAAAAAGGCACACTGTCTTCGCCAGACTTTGACGTCAAACCTAGAAATGGAGATTACTATGTTTGCCAATGGCGAATTAATGCCCCTCAGGGTCATCATATCCAGCTTAATATAACGTTTCTTGTCTTGCCAGAAAGCCCAGGATGCACTGGCGAAGATCGACTAGAAATCAGAGATGGGCATTCCGTGAAATCACCCCTGGTGGGTAAGCAAATTTTTGATAGTTACATATAATGTGTAAGCTTCATTCAGTAAATGAAATAAGTAAATTATTGATGATTTTATTTTTCATTGCAACCATAGATGACTACAGAATTTTTTACGATCAGTTTTGCAGAAACAGTATTTTAGATACGAGCTTCAGAAAGCCATTAAAACCAGAACTTTGATATGTTAACAAGCCTATGCAGTGAAATCAACTGTGTGTACAGAAGGAAGGTCGTAGAAAAGTTTGCTTCGCTTATGCAAGTTTCTAGAGGGAGAGGTAGACGTTTCTTCTTTTTGTGTAGACATTTTATGACGTGTTTGCTTGTTGTAGTTTTTCTGTTTATTCGAAGCACAAGACTTAGCTGTGAAAGTAAAGTGCAGAATAATTAAAATTCTGCATTGCAGTTGTAGAATATATTTCTGAAATATTTCGATTTCGTTGCACAATCGTTGGCTCTCTCGTCAGAAATAAATTTTGTTTTGAAGTAAAAGTTTAGTGAACCAGAAATTAGTGCGATGGCTAGTCAGTCAGTTTCGATGACCTCTCATCCTTTCGTGTCCTGGAAGGAGAAGCATCATGTTGTGTCTCCAGCGTTTCTGATTTTGTACCAGCATTTGAGGTTCAACAGAAGATGGCCTGCGTCTAG